CACACACACAAAAAAAAACACAGATTCAAGACATTTTCTCTCTTTAAACTGGTTGAATGTGTGACATTTAAATCCTCAGCACCTGCAACCTGTCAGAGGTGAGTTTAAATAAAATTAAACTATGATCACCTTGAAATGCAATTATTTCTTACAACTTGCAAAAAACTGCCAATAAATTTGTTAAAAACAGTTTTTCACTGTGTATTTTTTTGTCTTGTTACAATGCAAATAAAGGAAATACATATGTTAACAACAAAATGTTTCTTACATCAACACTTTTTGTCCCGTATTTTAATATTTGGACTGATGGATTGTCCCCCCCAGCTCAGCAATGTTGTTGTCAGGGGGTGGCAATCCTGTTTTTTTTTTTAAGATTAAAAGTGATCAACACTTTTGTGAGATAAATGGTTCATTATCTGGAAAAAAAACTGCTATTTTTGGCGACAACTTAATATAAGTAAGTTCCAGGATGTATATGAATTTCTTTAAACTGCAGGAATAATTGTCCCATAAGCAATGGATCCAGAACATAGTTATGAAGCACTTTGCATACCGAACTAATCCAATAAGTATCAGCCAGGGTGAATAAATTGAATGAAATTCATAATGCATCTCATTTTAGTAGACATTAAAACTACATGTTAGAAGGTATTTTGACTTGTTTCTGAAGCTGACTGCAGAGAAAACCTCATCCTGCAGCCTTGGCCACAGGCCCACAAAGAAGCCAGAGCTGGACCAGAGAAAGCTGCAGTTAAAACCTTATTGAAGGTATATCAGTAACTAATCAGCAAATACAGAGTGAATGGAGGGGTGCTTTGCTTTCCTTTAAGCTGAAGACTATCCATCATTGCACCTGAGCACTTCTCAAACATAACATGTCCATTCTGGTTGAGTGAATTCTTCCTGTGGAATTCCTAACCTTATTGTACCTGAATGCTTCCAGTAAAGGACATTCCCATTCATGATTCCTGGGGGAGCTCTGCTCCTGTCTCATTTTTACACTGAAGCATCTCCAGTTGCATCACCTTGGTAAAAACATTTAGCTTTTTATGCTTGTTTAAAATAGAACTTAAAAGGGCGATTTTGAGTTTGTGAAAAGTTAAAATCTTGCTCTTTATGCATTCAAATTTTAAAAGGCACATTTCATTTTGCCGATAATAAAACTTAAAATAAATGATAGTTAATAAATGATAGTTTCAAACATTATTTCAGTAGGATAATTCTATTCATATTAATGTTTCCAATTTGTAGCAGCATAACCTACTGAATGTATGAAATGACATGGATATTCATAACCATGACCTCTGTGACATTTATGACTGTTAATCATAAATCAGACATATTGCTGCATAAATACTGGCCATACAGATGAATGGCTGCCATGAGGATCCGCTTCCATGAAAATGAGCTTTTTATTTTGGTGTTTTCATGAGAGGGTTTTGTAGAAATGCTTTTAGGAAATATAGTTATGCAGACATGCTTGTTTTTTGGTGGATTGTGGGCTGTATGTTTGAATTTGGCCTCCATTCTGCAAGTGTGAATTTACATGTGGGTTTTCTTCAGTTACTCAGCAGGGTCTGTCAAGAAGAGCAGAAAAGTAGAGCTAGGGAATGTTTTTTTCTGGCTAAAAATATTAAACCCACTCCCTCACTTTTGCCTCAGGCTCATACACACACCGATTCCAGCTAAAACTAGAATCTCAGCTCCCCCTGCGTCTTTATACAAATGGCTTATGAGAAAAGGAAGTATAGTACAGTAATTGCCTGGGATTTCCTGTTCTCTTTTGTAGGTCAGTAGGTTAGGACGTTGTGCCCTTATCTGAAAGTCATAAGTTCAAATCCAGGGCTCCAAGTGAGCTGGCAACTAAATAAGTACAGTAAATGTGATCTTGAGGAAAAACATTGTTTGTTTATGATCTAAAAGGTGTCCTGCATTTTTCTTAAGGTTTTTACAGTGCATGGGAAATAGAATATAACAGATGCATGGTGCATGGGCTACATCTGCTAGGCTTAGGTCTAAATGGGCCTGTAACTGATGTGAATAAGAAAATACAACATTGGTGCCTTCAAAAGCATTCACCCATCCGCACATACAGTACAGGGTCATGGAAGAGCACTGACTACAGGGGCAGGGGAACACCCTGGAGAGGATGCCAGGCTATCACAGGGCCCATATGCGATGAGCAAGTGAGAGATACTAGATTCCCTGAGTGCATGCCATTGAACTGCAGAAAAAAACCCACGCAGACATGAGTAAAAAAAGTAAACTCCACATGCAGAGGGTAGGACTGGAATTCAAACTCACAATCGTGGAGATATGAGGCAATACTGTGATTGTGCCACTGCCTTTAGAAATAATCTACCCTTTAAATTTCTAAGAGCAGTCAGGGCTTCTTTGGAGTGAGGAACAGCAGAATAGTAGCCAAGCCTTCTCTAATTGCTTTTTGTCCCATCTGGAAATCCTGTTTGGCCAAGTCCATACATCCACATTCTGAAGCGTTGCTACAAATGAAAACTAACACAAGTGTGCAGACACAGACACTAAAGCCAGAGAAGAAATCCATAATGTAGAAGATATGAGGCTGCCATGCTACCTGCGTAGCCATCATCCAATGTAATTTTAGACATTCCTAGTATGCTAGAAATGCAGTGTGCATCCGGTTACATATACAAGTTTTTGAGTGTGTGGGGCCTCATAATTGTCTATCTGCCTGGGAATATTTTATCCATCCATCCATCCATCCATCCATATTCCAATAACTTATACAGAACAGGGTTGCTATACCATGTCCTCATTCATCTAGGCTGTCAGTTTGATTTCTGCCTCACTTTTGTGGAGCTGTTCCTCACCCCCTTGAGTGCCTCTGGAAATTTGGTGGAAGGATTATCTCAGATTTATAGTTAGGCCTAATGTATAATTTGCATTACAATGAGGCAGAATGATTAATCTGGTTTACACAATTTGTTTTCTCTGTGAGTGCATTAATATTTCATGAGTATATTAAATATTCTAAATGGTGACATACACTGCATTTTAATGGGTCCTTCATCCCTTATTTAAATTCATTCCTGATGTTCTCTTGAGGCAGTTCTGAGATCTGGAATTAGATTTTTTTCATATGCTTTATTTGTCTTATCCAGAGTTATGTAATATCCAGAGTTATGGCAAAATCGTACTGCTCTACCTATCAAAACTGTGCAAAAAGACTGTGAGCGCTTGTGTGAGCTTACTGATCAATATCTCCATAATAAAAGTGTATGGTGGTCTTCTTGATGTAATAAGTGGTAATATAGATAAGTGGAAGTAGGGGAGATGTTTCTGAACTCTTTAAAGATTGTGGAAAAAACATATATTAAACAATATTTAAACATTAGCAATGATTACCAAGGAATACAATCCTGTGCTGTGCACTTTAATTTGCTTACAAGCTGGACTTTTACTGATACAGATGTATGATGCGCATGAATTTGCATATTTAAATATTTTACTTTCACACTTAGCATTTTCTTTTCATGTTTAGTTCCATCAAATTTTAGAACTGTCAAAATATATTAATGTTTTTAAAAAGTATTCATTCATTTTGTACAGTTAAGTACAAAATACCTACCCCCCCATAGTCAATTTATTTTAATAATAATAATTATTGATAATTTATTGATCCCCATGGGGAAATTGTCTTTACATCTTCCCCAACTTGCTCTATTTTGTAGAGTAAGTTGTCCGTGAAGGGCAGTCACCTGTAGCAGCACCCAGGGAATTGGGGGTTAAGATGTGGCATGATGTTCTATTGTGGCAACAGAAGACCCCCCATCCCACCTTTTTACTCTTTGTGAGGATTTGAGAATTTGCCCCAGGGGATTAATAAAGTGTCACAATTCCATTCTGACTAATGTTTTACAGTAGAGTGCATGTGTTTGCATTCACATCAACCCTGTGTGCAAGTGTTGTGTGAATTTCACAGCAAGAAGTTTTGCCATGGAGTGGCATGGTGGTGCAGTAATTTGTAGTATCACCTCATGCATCAGGGACCTGGGTTGAAGTCTCTGCCAGGATTCCATGTCTGTGGAGTTTGCATGTTCTCCCCGTGTCCTTGTGGTGTTTCTTCTGGGTGGTCTGGTACCTCCCCCACAATCTAAAAATATTCTGAGGCTAGTTATAGTTGGCAGACTGCCTATAGGGGTGCCCCCTGTGATGGGTTGGTGCCCCATTCTGGGTTGTTCCCTGTCTTGTGCCTGTAGCCTCCTCGATAGGCTCTGGACCCCCTGTGACCCAGAATAGAATAAGTGGTTTCAGAAAATGGATGGATGAAAGTTCTACCACCACCTGGTCAGAAAATGAATAGCAGAACAACAGACTTTCAGGACATTGCACATCATTCACAGGTGTCAGGGAGCTGCTGTCAATTTGCAAGAGATTCCTGGCGAGGTGGGATGCTGTGTAACAAATACGCATTTATGTGATAATGTAGCACTTTTTTTATTTTTAATGTTTATACAGATACTAGCCTCATTTGCTTTGCTATATTTTTTATTAAGCACCTACGCATGTTATTTGAAAGTAGTGTTGCGTGCTGGACTATATGCACAGCTGATGCTCATCTAGTCACCAGATCAATGTGTCACATCCACATCAAAGTCACATTATGCTGGTTCTATGATGTAGTGATGTTAGTGCAGACATCGAGTGAGAGAATGATTTCAATCACTTTCATAATTAGGAGGACAATTCCAAGGAATGGGAAAGTAATCATACTTTCTTAATACAAAAAACCGTTTTCTACAAATCACGTCATATAACGGATCACAGAAAAAATAGTAGCAGATAAACAGTCATATATCTGTCAACCATTGTAAGCAAATTTCACTGTAGTACACTGCATGACATGTCATCAAAAATGCTACACTGGATATTTTAATCTAATTGGCTCAATTTAGTAACATCAGTGAACGTTCCATCAAAGCCAAATCTCCAGTAAAAAGTAAATTGCAGGATAGCTTGAGTGAAATTGTGACTCTTTTATTTTCTTGTACACAAATGCATTTAGTTGAACATTAGAACTAGAACACGACCACGTCCTGTATTTACACATTCTTTTGTTTTGTACAATGTATGCGGTCTTAAATAAAATAGTAAAATACACTTTAGGTTAATTAAATGCATCTCATCCAATAGAAGCAAGAGGTTTATGCAACAGCACTAACCAGGACCTGCACTGAACACTGTCGACAGGTCTAACTCTCAAGATAAAATAAATATGATCAAGCATGTAACTTCTATCAGGAGAAACTAGCACACACCATACATAATAAAGTCTACTGGATAAGAGCGCCATACTGACAGTTTAATCATTTGTATTTGATGGTTTTATTTTAAATAACATGGGTAAGGTCACTACACTCTGCAATCCCATGGCAATGTCCAGCAATAACCTCTGACGTGCATCTTGGCTTTCAAGTGGTCAAAACTTTTGTATAGATGCTATGATGAAAATGTTTAGCTAAATTGTGAAATAGATTTTATGCTATTTGCTTGTAAGATTCACATATTTTAAAGCTAATTTTCTTTGTTATATGTAAATTCAGTATCTAGTATTCCAGCCCATGGTGATAATTGTAATATAATATACTGAGCAAAAAAGGTGCTCCGTTTGTGAGTAAGTATGCTGCTGGTCTTCTGATAGGAGGATAAATAATTTAAATATTTTATTTGAATATTGTCATCTGGACTTTTAACAGGCAATATAGTATAACCCATTGTTCCACTACATCCATTGTGACATGTAGTCCATAAAGCATTGACCTCTGTCTGGAAAATTACAAATTCTGTTTTCGTTGATCACTCTGTTACACAACAGCAGGGCTATCAGGCCAATTGTGCTGCCAACCCCTGGCCACCAGGTGGCAGCAACCCATGAGGAGGAAGCCGTGAGGTGTTTTATGCTGTACAATAAACAAATCACTGAGAAGGTAATGATTGCGGGAACTTGAACAATATTTGTAATAAATGCCATGTTAATATGCATAATCCTAAATGTATTATTGGGAACAATATGTGGCATGTAGTGCTCAGAAAACCATAAAAAATAAAATAATAATAATAATAATAAAAGAAAACTTCAATGATTGTTCAAGCTATTACAATTTAGTATCATTTTGATGTCATTTGTACGTCACTGTCACTGTATTTTATAAAAAACAACACTGTTTGTGCATGATGTATGATTATTGTTGTTAATACTCATTAGTAAAAACACCGCAGGATGTGTGGTACTTTATCACCTTAACCAGGATCACCGATATAGATAACACTCTGAAATGTTTATTCAATACTCATCTACTTTTTGCATTCATTTTCTGCCATGGTTGCCTGGTTACTGTTCTTTGCACTTTAGGGCTGCAAACAGCAGCTTCACCCCAGTAGGTGGTGTGTGGTTCATTATATTTCAGAAATTATCATGTAGTGTAAGTTGCAGTTTTATATAAACTAAATTTGGGAAACAGACAGTCACAGAAATCAATTCTACATTGCATTTTGCCTTTGGACCCGTAACATGAATATCTTCAATAAACAGCAAATTGCATAAATAAGTTGAGTTTAACAATAAGGTAATTTTCTCATAACAAGGCCATCCTATAATAAAGTAACATAAAATAAGTTAACATAATCTTGTCTAATAATCTTATCTATAACTGTAGTACACTTAAATAGCTGCTGCCATCTAGACAAGATGATGGCCAAAAATAATAATAAAGCCACAGAAGCCAGAGGGCTCAATTTAAAATCTATCCCACTGTTCATTAATGGCTATAGTTGTGTACTCCGCAGGGGGAGCCCTCTACAGGTAAGATGAAAGAAAGGACATACCAAAGGAAGACACTTCTAAACATTAACAAAATATTTTTTTAGCTTCTTGTGAAGGTCACTTGAGTTTTAATGTATGAAAAATGTGGTGGCAACAAGGTAAGGTAGACTACAGATTCTCATAGATGATGCATTTTCTCTAGAATATTTTACTTTGTGTTTTATTCCTCTAAGGTGGTATTGCATAATGCAATTTGTATAGGTTTAGCTCCAGTTTCTGTTACAAAACATTTGAATTATCAATCCAATTTAATGATGTCGGCACATGGTATATTTTAATTTAATACTTAATACAATGAGTTATGATCAAAATGACGTGACGGTGTCAAATGCGAAAAGACATGCAAATAAAAAAATATTGCATTGTTAGTAACATTATTTCCATTTAGGTACATTTTTAGGCTCTCAATCAGCTTGCGGTCATGTGACCACCCATGTGCTACTTCTTGCTTATAGTAACCAGGTACATAGTTAAAGGACAATTACATAAAAATATGCCGTGTGTAGCGCTGACACAGAACAGGCTACCTGCTTCAAAAGTCTTAATTTGGAATTTTTCATAAAAATGTTTTAAATCTAAATCTGATACCCAAGCACATCTAAACCACTCCACGAAGTTAATAGTACATAGTAAAGGGTATTCTGTAATATGTCATAGTTTCATAAAGCTTTTTTCTTAATGTGTCCATTCCAGAACAAGAAGTATGATTAGCCTCAAAGTATCATGACAAAACCAAAGACAAATTGTTGCAAAGGAGAAATTCTAACTTGTGATTAGAAACATAAAAAATAATAATTGTGCATACCAGTAGGAGATGAAATTTCTGGGTGAAAAAATTTGTAGCACACTCCATTAAAGGGGCCCAGAGCAACAGGTTAAGTTAAGGGGAGTGACATCAGCGCATACATTAATGCCTGTTTTCATACAGTACATCTGATCCATTCACAAAACTCCTTTGCATGGCAGGGACCATATTTTGTTGGCTTAAAACAGCAAGTTCACAATAACACAGGTAAGCCATTCTTTGGGTTTGGCTGATTCAACTTTCGAAGACTCAGAGATAAGGGCCTACTCACAAGGCAGTAGTACAAAATGAAATCGCACTAGCACAGAATGGTGCGTGTGTGTATATATATATCATTCTCAAATGTAGTCCAGATATATATCCTTTACTCTTACTCTAGGATTGCCCTGGTAATATAAATATCTATCTTTATAGTGGAGATACATTTCATTTTCAGTCATACATAATATACATGTATCTACATGTGTTTTTACAATGTGGGGACGTGACGACCACTTGTTGTATGATCATTTGGATGAGCCACCTTGGAAACCTATTTTCCTAAACTGCAGGTCAAATACACAAACAACAGACTGAAGACCCTATGATGGCAGAACAGTTATCTTGTTACAGAAAACACTACACCATGTACCTATAATCCTTAGGGCTGCATAACACAGATCAACAAACAAACATAAAACAAAATTAAATAAAAAACCTTAATACATGCAACTCTGCATTAAAGTAGTTATACACTTAGAACAGTAACATTTGTACAGTAACACTCAATGAAATCAATACAGTTCAGAAGAATTAAACAAAAGGAAGTATGTGTGCTGTGTACACACACACACACACACACACACACACACACACACACACACAATCTACAGGAAAAACCACCGTTTCGTCTCAGATTTACATAAAATATTTACATGTTGGTTTCCTTAGAAATTCCTCTCATAAGACATCTAGTAGGGATGGACCTGGAACGTACAAAAGTTGAACGTGGAAAAAGCTGAACTGTATAATTCCATGTGTACCGAAAGATCACAATAATCAATTTAAGAAATTTAAAGAGAGATTCTGGACCTTGAAGGAGGATGCAGACCAGTAGTGGCAACCCAAGTTGACTCGAAAATATAAACCAGCCTACCAATATTCCAGTCGATAATATTGAAGAATTATTTGGTCGTCAGAATTAAACTGAAGTATTTACTTAACAGGCAATGCTGATGTTGTTTATAACCATCATGACTAGAGCTAAGCATGTGGAGTACTTCCATTTTCATTATTTTTTGTATGGAAAAGTTCTACCATCTACAGTATCAGATCCTCAAGAAAAAGGTCACGTTGAGGTCTTGGCAGTCATCTTCAACATTTGTGATGTCTACATGCAGCTGTCACACCCAACCACCCGCAACCCCCCACCCCCCCCCATTCTATTACCATAGAAAACGTGAGCAGTGCCTCAGCAAATCCTATTGGGCAAAGCCGGCTGCACACAAATGTCCACATGCATTAGCGACACAATGAGAGAGCATGCACCTAATGCTACTGCTTAACTTCTCCGTCTCGGCTAGATGCTGCATCGCGTCATGTGCTCGGCTAATCGGTGGGCTACCAGGAGCAGGGCTTTGTTGCCCGGGTGCTACCGGCTCACTGGGGAACAACCGTTAGCCAAGAGGGAATTCTGAATGACACTTGCCAGGTTAACAACTTTTCACCCGTGACTGTAGGTCCTCAACAAGATTGACTCTCCCATTTTGAGATTTTTTTAAGGCAGGCAATATAAAAAGCACACATCTACACAGTCTGACAAAATATGAAGGAAAATCTCATTATGTTTGTTCCGGAGCTTTGCCATGGGTGTTAAAGTATATACATAGTATCACTGCTTTAGAATGCATGACCTTCATTATTGTGAACCAGTGCTTGTTATGCTAATTATTAGTCTGTTCTAAACCCAAGTAGTACAATTACAAGTAGCCTAAAAAAGACAAAAAACAAAACAAAAAGTCAACTAAGGAAACCCCCACATTTGTTGTCAGTGGTTCTGTCCAACAGTGGTGCAGTCTAAAGAATATTCCGTGACAACAAGACAGATCCCGGTCCAGGAAGCAAATGGATAACAGTTGATATTGTACGTGGGTCACCCACGGTCGGGGAGAATCCGAGGCATTTCGAATAAGCTAGGTGGGAGCCAAAACATTCACACAATGTTGCTAGAACATTGCAGCAGTGCTACCCTACTCTTACAGGTTTAGGACAGTCAGTTCCTTTGCGTAGCTGATGGCCATGTATGCTCCAGAAGCTTCCTCTTAGCAGAAGACTATGAATGGGACATCTGGCAGCACGTTGAGACGGCAACAACGCGAAGACTATGAACTAACCAGGCTGCTAGCTATGGATGAGCGGAAATTCCCATATGATGCAGCCCTTTGAGAAAGACAGGTGGGTGACATGGATGTTTAAGTGATGTCACCGCAATGTTGGGGGGTTATGTCACACTAGTCGGCTCATAGATGCTGCCTCTGGTGGATGGGGGGTGGGGAGGGGCAAGTCGTACAGCAATATTACGATGACGTTCAGATAACGTTCCGGTTAGGGTTGGTGGGGGGCTTCACACAACAGAGCCCTTGGAGGAGGACAGGTGGATGGAATGGATGCGTGTAGCCAGCGTCTTCTCCAGGTCCGCAAGCACATTCATGCTGGTGTTCTCAGGCGGTTTTTCATACAGCAGCTGCTTGAAGGCATCTGTCTCAATCAGGACCACCATGTTCTTCATGAAGTAGCCTTCAATGTAGGCAGAAAGCTCCGTGGTACTCAGGAACTGTAGAGCAGTGAGTGACACCAGAGTTTCACGACACTATAAAACAACGCTAACAAACACCACTGCCTAAGACAGCTTAGTGTGTCATTGGCTAAGAGAGAGTGGACATCTCACTGACTGACTCCCTGACTAAAAACAGCAACTACAGAAATGTACATTTTTACTATAGAGTTTCTCAGGTAACAGCTAACTGGCCTAAGGTGGCAAACACAACATCGCCTGTCACTTCCCCCAATTGCTAGTCCAGCTGCTGTACAGGCAGCTGATCTTCTTATGGATCCTGGGTGGGTGGAGCTTAGCCTCACCTTGGCGTGGTTGTAAATGTCCACACAGGTTTCTGTGTTGATGTTCTTGGAACAGATGATCTCACAGTGTCGTTGCAAGGAGTCCAGTTGGAAGAATTTCGCAGCGGACAGCAGCTGTGTGACAAACCATGATATGTACGAATGAAGCAGGCTGATCACATTATAATCTTCAAATACAGTGGTACCTTGGTTCTCAAACTCACTAGAACTCGAATTTCTTGAAAGTCGAACCAGTTTGACCTAGAACTCGATCTGAATATCAGAAGTCGAACCGTGAATGCGCCACAATGCAATTCTGCAATTCTTACTTGAACAGACTGGACGATTAACCAAATAAAGCAGTACAACATTACAGTAACTAACAATAAATAAACCACTAACTTACGTGTACTATTAGAGCATTTATGTCATTTATTTAAACTTTATTTTACCAGGTAAATTAACTGAGAACCAGTTCTCACTGCTTTACGTGATATTCGGGAGAAATAGCAGATTACGCATCGGAACTGCCTGGGATACAAACGTCATGTGTGTAACTAAACTCTTCAGCCAATAAGGGCAAGGGTGTGTCGTCACGGAGGCGGTTCCAGTTTGTGCAGCCGGGTGAGAGGTCGCAATGCATCTAACCGTAATGCATTGCGTCAGGATCAGAATGCGTTGCTTTAAGCCAGCGCTGTAAGCAAGTCAAACGCAACTGAAACGCGGACTTAATACAGAGGACTAATGACAACAACCAGAAACAGCTGATCACACGGGGATTCCACATGGGGATAACGAGGGGGCGTGGCACACAGAAGGAGCAGGACAGGGGTAATGTTGGGATAAGATCTTTATCGTTTTGGAAGCCATTAAGAAAAAAGTGCTCTTCTTGTTTTATCCTGTTAATTTTGTGTTTAAATGCTAAAAAAAAAAAACATATTTAGGTGTAATTATGGGGGGCCGGGAACCAATTAATTGGTTTTCCATTATTTCTTATGGGAAAAATTCGATCAGAACTCGAACTTTTTAGGATTCAATCCAGAATCCAGAACGGATTAAGTTCGAGAACCGAGGTACCACTGTACTATAAAGTATTCTTCCTTCTTATTTTATACCATCTATATATATGATATGTACACGATACAACCCTCTGTTAAACTAAATTTACTTTTTAATTCTTACAAAGTCATAAGCTGTACAACAATTTCCAAAACCAACCTACTAAAGCAAGACAATGCAATTAATTTGTTTAGCAATTGATTTCCCATGAGTGATGGGCCAGTTGTCCCTCTTCGCTGGCATTACCTCAATAACCTCTGTATTTCGAATGTGGAGTGACTCTGTTCCTCCACAGTACAGGTATTGCATCACCAACTGCAAAAGAAGGAAGACATGTAGACGGATGAGGGGTGCACTTCATCATCTTCAAACGACATTACACAGGACCACCAACACTGGCATGGTTGACCTATGTACATTGTTTACTATAGTTGCAATATCTTAATTATTGCATTCAGAGGTCCGTAAAGTCATGAAATCACGTTTTCAAAGGACCAAGTCACTGCCTTCCCTCCACAGAGCCAAAGAGATCTCACAGACAGATTTCCTAAGAACGGATGTCCTTTAACTCTTGTTTTACCTGGAATATGTTGTATTTGACATGGCTGATTTCAATGCATGTGTTCTCAGCTGCAGGTCTGTTGGAGAGGAGTGATTTAAACCTGGAAAACAGGAAAAGGTTATGATGCTTATTTACTTGGACAACACCTTCATCTGCAGTTTTGCACATTTGTTTCATTTATTAAATCCTGATATTTACTGGAGGAATCTAAAATCTTTGTATAAGGTACCACCTCTGGACCAGATGTAGGATGCAACACTATTTTATAAAACACTAAAATAAAATAGAGGTAATTTGCCTGTCTCGTTATATATTTTATAGTAGGATAAACAGAACTATATGCTTATGTATTGAGGCAGGGACGGATTATGGGTTGTGTGGGCCCCTGGGCAAAACGTTTGCGAGGGCCCCCCCCCCCCCCCCCACCACCACCACCACCACCACCACCACCACCACAACCACCACAATTCAAGGGCCCTCCATGTTTCCATCAGAGGCCCTATAGGGTCAGGGGCCCTTGTAGGCAGAGGATCAAAGAATGTAGGTCCTCTAAAATAGACAAACAAAAATACATTGTTGATAAGCGTTGCAAATTGTTTTGGGCTAGGGGCCCCACGGGCCCCCTGCACCCCAAGGGCCCCTGGGCAGCGGCCCCGCTGGACCGGTCCGTAATCCGTCCCTGTGTTGAGGATGTCACCATTTAGCCTATTAAAAATCAGACCTTTGGTGCAGACCTATCAGAAAGACTGGAGTGGCATTTTAGAAAAGGGGTGTTTTTTAATGTAATTTGTAAATGTGGTAGTTTTAAATATCACATGCAGAATTTAAATGAAACTTGTACCAGAGTGCATTGAGTATTTGGAAGTAGCCTTTGTGCCGTTTAAACATTCCCTTTAAATTGAGTTGCTGTCAAAATTCACCCAGGCTGGTGACTGTACCAAGGCCTGCAGTGAAGTGACATCGTCTCGCATTAGAGTGTAATCAATTTGAAGTCCACCCCTTTTTTGGCAAACCTCCAGAACATTTCCTAGGCACTGTGCTGATTTTGTAGCATTTCATTTTTCACGAGACGCCTTGGGACAGTACCATCAATCCATCACCTTATGATGGTCAGGAGGCCCTGGAAACTATGCCAAGCAGCTTAGGGCACAAGGAAGGAGTATACGCTGGAAGGGGTGCCAGTCCATAGCAGGGAACACACATGATGGGCAATTTAGAGATGCCAGTTATCCTCACTGCATGTCTTTGGATTGCAGGAGGAAAGGCGAGTGCCAAGTAAAAACCTGCATGATGACATGGGCGGAAGATGCGAACTCCAAATACACCAAATAGGGGCAGTATTAACCCCCCCAGCCCTTGAGGTGTGAGGCAACAGTGTGACAAACTAAACCACCATAATACTTTGGAATGGTCCCATTATTCATCCACTGAATGAATTAAACTAAACTGAATGCTGAATACTTACTGTATTGTGAAAACAAATTATGTTTTGCTAAGCAAATCCTGAAAAACATGGTTCTGGAGAGTGTCACTGAATCTCAGTTTATTACCCTGACACACATCAAAGTCTCTGCAATCACACGTTTCCTTCACTCTTCCTTCTGGGGTTCACGCTCTGGTTTAGTCAGAATGAGCCTCGAACCATGAGAAACTTCCGATTCTTCTTCACATAATCAAACACAAGGCTACCCAATCACATTCCAGAAACTGCAAACTGTCCTCTGCATTCCTAAGCTGCCTCTCTACATCTCAATCCCCACAATCCTCTTATGCAGTTGCAAGAAGCTTGCATTTGTTTTGCAGTGCAAAAGTTATTCACAGGCTTTTGCTCCATAAGCTTCAGATTTCTATCCAAGTTCCATCCTGCATTACTAATCCTTATAAATTAATCCTTCAAACTTCCTTTACCCAACCGTGACATTTCTGCGAACCCCTCAGGTTGAAATGCTGACCAGCACCTCAAACTCAACGAATGTAAGTCTGACCAGATGATTTGCTAAATCATTGCCATTACGAAGCCTTTTTAATGTTGTACAGACAAGACTTCCTCTTAGACAGCCTAGATCTAATACTAAACATCACAACTTGCCCCTTTTATTGGCAACTTATTTCTGAACACCAGAGGGGTCAACTAGTTCATAGTTCTTAGGAAATTTTACCCATTTATGGTTGGATGCTCTGTGGGCAGGGCTCTCATATATGAACCAAAACGATTGCAATGTAAAGTGGTTTTGTCACATACCAGTCGAGGCTCAAGCATTTCTATGTACCTCCTTTCTTTTCATGGGCTCTGGAACCAATGTCTAAAGATGCCACTGACTCACCTTGGGGAGGCGGTGAAGAGAAGGACTTTGTGGGCATAAAAGGGCTTCCCCTCGACCAGGAAAGTAACGTCAGACATCTCTTTGTTATTTAGGAAGTGGGGATCTGAAAGCAGAGATCAACTTTATAATCGCAGATAAGTGGTGAAGAGGAACGCCTCTCAAACCTCTGCCATCACATTTCATTCTTTAACCTGAAGGATCCATCCATCCATCCATCCATCCATAAATGCTCATCCATTACAGGATTGCAGTCCAGTGAATCATTACAGAGGAAAATCTCATTTTAACAGTCTCAAATACACAGAAGAAAATCACATTTTAACAGTCTCAAACACTTATGGATGATCATAAGGGAGGAAAAGTGCTTTCATGCCTATCAGGCATATCAATTCTCAATGAATTTTGACTAATACATTTTATTTTCAGTTAATTCTCTGTTTCCACTAATATTAACATGACGAAATACTGCAGAAACTAGACGGCTGCAGCTATTATTTTAGGCAATATCTTAAATGAGGCCAAAAATGATGGAATTATTAGGTAAAAGAGAAACGAAGGCCAAGGGCCATGATTGACGTGCTTCACCCTCTGTGACATAGTTGTACCGAATCTGTCCTGATCAGTGTATTTTGTACTGCTCTTGTTTTGAGGAAATACCCCAGCCCTGCAATGAACAGTTTACCTTAGCCATGGGTCTGCAGGGTACTCTGTCAGTGTGTAAGCAAGTGAAGCAAGGATATGTTTCTTTATATATGCATGTGCGGGAAGGCAGAGCAGGGAAAAGTCAGGTTACTGCAATTAAACTATAGGAAGCTGTTCCAGCTGCCCGTCGCTCCCAGTATGTACTGTACCTAATATCGGCACATTCCCTTTTGGTCTGCTGAGGCCTGTCGGCTCCCATGACAACAAAGTCCGAGTGGTGATGTGTTTGTTTGCGTTTTCTTTTCTCCTAAACTGTCCTGTCACCCCATTGCAGCTGTATAGGAACCTTACTTAAGTCTAGGGTGACATGATCCTGTTTACTGGCCCTCCAGGATTGCTCCACAGCATATGGAGAACATTACTCCAACTGCATCCATATGTGCCTTGGATAAGTGATGCTGCAATGTATAACCATATAAGAACACTGGGCTTAACTGTCCATTTCAACTGTGTTCGGCTCCCCCCCCCCCCAAAAAAAAAACCCAGTGCTCACCCAGGCGGGAGCTCTGCTTCCTCTTGATCTCTGTCAGCTTGGGGATGGGGTAGGGTCCATAGCACTGCGTGAAGATTACTGCAATCTGCTGGCTGATTACCTCATTCTGACAATGCACACACACGCACACACACACATACACAGAGACATATTCAGGGAGACACACACAGACACGGACACAATAAAAAGACCAGTGAGAATGTGCAATGAGACACACGCGCATGCCCATCTCGCAGCAGAATTTCACACACCGCTAGAGGTAATCCCCAGCAAACCCACACACAGGCTGCCTCCATCTCCCAGTGGGGTGGAGTCACATGGCGTGATGGACGCCCGCGCTCTCGAGCCCCCGATTTACCGCCACAAATCGAAGTCATTTCCAATCCCATCAGTCACCACCCCCGTGCTCAGGCTCCTACCGCAGTGCACAATGGCTGTGTGAGCCCCCACGATTCCATTACAGGTAAGACACCACACAGGACATTCCCCACACTTCTTCCCGTGGATTCTGTGCATTCCACAAATCAGTCATGGAGCCGATCACTCATCTGTAGCCCCCATATATATATATATATATATAAACTGGCTTATTTTTTGCTCATTTTTCATCTCTAGCTGTGTATAACCCCTATATACAAACATGTTTTATTTTATATAGGGCAATTAACAAAAAATCCGCCTCCTCCTAGGGTCCAACTGCCGCTCTAGGCCAGGATTCAAGCTTCCTGACGTCAAGTCGATGGCTCAGGACACTGTGCCACCTGGTGCAGACACAGGTTTTCAGAGGTCGTCCTGCAGCTAGCCACGCAGGCGGGCGCAACCAAGACCCGAGACCGCATTGTGATACATGCGGAGCAACGCGATACTCCAGGCGGACCACCCGAAACCTCCAGAACCCCAGCCCCGCCCCCCACCCGATGGCTCCATGGCAACCGTCTGAGATGCATATGGAGCGTTCACCACAGCCAGCAAGTGAACTAAAAAAAGATACATATCCCCACATTGAAATCACATATCGTTACTGATGGCAACTCACTGTGGGGGGGGGGGGGGGGCACCTCATGGGGTCCCACTGCAGGGCTGTCACCGATTACTAAAGGAGGTATGAGCTGGGAGGGGCCCTTGGCACATGGGGAGCGCTAGGAAGCGACGATGTACACAAGGTTGCCCAGGGGAGGGGTGGAGGGGGTGTGGCCAAGTCAGGAAGAGACAAGCAGGGAAGGGAGGAGGCAATAAACGTGATGGGGGGAGGTCAGGAAGGACATCAGAGGGATTACGAGAGTATGGAAATAATCAAAAGGAATCCTTTTGTGATGAATTTTCCAGAAACTAAGTGGGGAGAGACATGGCATTTTTGTGCTTGATGGAGAACATATCAGGCAGGTCATTATTATACTGGGGGATGACTCTCTCAATAATCGGGACACGGGGGTGAGGGGAGGGGCTGCAGTGGAGGATATTCACCTTGCTCGCCCGCAGGATCTCGAACATGAGTGGCAGCCCGTGGGTGATGAGCTCCTCTGTGTACTCCTCCTCCTCAATGCAGGCGAACTCCTTCAGCAAGCCCTGTATCAGCGGCCGGCGGTGCTGCAGGAAGCAGGTGCGCAGGGACTCCAACCAGGTGTGCAGGGTCCAGGGCACGCCTGCATGCACACGGCACACGCGTCGGTCATGCTCACGCCCTTCCAGAACATTCTACTGCACGATCATGGCTTTCCCAAGTTCTAGTGTCGAGCAAGATATATGTAAAACACTTAAAAAAGGAATTAAATCAGTACATTTAAATTCTTCATGAGTCAGTGGGGCACAAAAATGTGGTCAAATTGAATATGGTCACATGACTGCCCTAAGTCCCAAGCTTGTTATATATAGACACACAGCTGCGGGATGACCATAGTCCTCGTCCAAGTCAAACAAACAATGCAGAAATAGCCATCTTCTCCAAATATTTTTGCCTTAGCATTCATTTAATAAAAGAGGATTCATTTTCTGACATGCTGTTTCACCAATCAGCTGCAAGCGGGTTAATCCAGCCTTCTCCATTCTTAAGGAGTAATTAATCTGAGTTAATATACGTGCTATCGGTGTACAGCAAAGCGTAAAACAGATTAATTACACACTCTAGTTATATCCAGATGCGATAAGTAAAACGGCGCTGTAATGCAGGCACGTTATAAACACCTTGTACTTGGGCTGTGATTCACATGCAAAACTCGCCCAGGTGCGTTATGCTAAGCTCAGTGAGAGACCCACAGGGAGGGAGAGCTCTGCTGGCCGCTCAGGGCTGCGGAGGTGCGGATTTCCACAAGCCTTTCCGGTGAATCCGCAGATATCAGTCATCGTATTACCGCTGCCCCCGATGAGGGCTGAATCGAATCTCGTCTAGGAAAGTTGACACAGTTCCTCCGCAGAGCCTTGCCGAGCTCCACCATAATAGAGACAGATCGTTCTGCTCTGAGACCCTGGAGCACTGAGGGTCTGGTTTTGGGAACACGGCATGCGGCCGTCTCTCTTGAGATTACGTTTGGCACTGTTCATTTCAATGACTTTTACGAATGCCTGTCATTTCCCCTGCTTTCATCCATAAAGGTCTGCATTCAAGGCACTTTTAGGAACGAGCGTCTGATCAGCCATCGCAATTCGCCACCCCCCACCCCCTGAGTGAGCAACGGTGGCATGCAGGCGGATTTGGCATTCCCTCAGAAAACACATTCCCTGCTCTGTCACGCAGCCGTAGGCGGCTGCAGGCTGAACAGCAGGGGGCAGCAAAGAGTGTGGCAGCTTGAGGACATGGCGCCCAGATGGTTGCCAGGTGACGTCCTAGAAGAGGACATCACTCCAACATAGCCCATCACTGAGGTGTTTAATCATACTTGCTCCAGTAAAGAAATAAGTTATGTTGGCTAAAATCATATTCCCTTCCATTGTCTTTCTTTCTTTCTTTTAATAATACATTCCCAGTCAATGGATTGCCACCTTCTCCAGCGCCTTGATGTCACTTCAGTTTCTGTATTGCACTGTATTTTGTCTTGCACTGCGTTGCTTTTTACTACACTGCACCTTTACCCATCATTCGCACTGTTGTTGGCCATTCTCTCCCATGCACCGTTCCCCTACCCTGCAACTGTGGCACAAGAATTTCACTGTTTTCCTCTGAACACATGTGACAATTGAACTTGAAACTTGAACTTGCAACACAGTCTTGACACAGTCTTTAAGATGCCTGGAGTCAAAGCCTCCAGTGATGTCCTGCAGATATCCAAGATTCATGTGTTTCATGTGTCAGGTTACCATCACATCATGGTTCTTCCATTTTTAGCCCAGCATCTGCACCCCATTACTCTGTTGAAGGTTCTGTCATGCTGAAAAGTCAATACTATTGATAAATATGGAGAGTGCTGGACAGAGAGAGACCAGCGTCTGTATTTAAGTGACATTTTTTCCCGATGAGGCCTGGACCTTCCCCTTCCCCAAGGATAAAGGCACAGTGTGCGGAAGGGCTGAGGCTCACCGAGGCTACGGATGTCGATGGTGATGTCAACATGGCCATGCTCAGCGCTGTGGTACATGGCCTCCTTCAGGGCCTTCAGCCTGGCCTTGCCGGTACGGGCCGAGTCCAGCTGGGGCGGCTTCTTCTCACCCAGCTCTGAGCCCTCGGCCAGGATTTCCTCCAGGGACAGAACGTCCCCCTTTGCCTTGTCTGTGTATGACAGCAGCTTGCGGAAGACATTTCTACGGGGGAAATGGGGATTGGGGATGATAAGTGATTAAAGTTAACAAAAGAAAGAAAGAAAGAAAGAACCATGTACATGCTGTATAGGGGCACTACAGATAGTTTTTAATCTACAGACTAAATGGATTTACAAAAAGAAAAACACAAGTATTACAATAATATTTTCTTTTCCAAATAAGCAGTAAGTCCCATGTAATATATAAAAACACAAGGTGACCTTGTTTTGGAAACCTAGCACTGACACAAGAAAGTAATTGACAAAAAAGAATAGTCTAGATGGTTTTAAATAATTTCACATGAGCAGTGATTACTTCCAGATCATTCTTAGTTCATTTGCATGAGTACTAAGAACTGGTAGCTGTCTGTGTGCTGAGACTCAGTATTATGTTCCTTGTATGAGTTGGCAGTGCTGGGGGGATCAGGGGGCTTGGTGTATGCAGTGTGTCTCTGTTTCATATGTGTGTCTGTGCCTGTGTGTCTGTATGTGGATGTATGTGTGTGTGTCTATGAGAGCATGAGTGGGTGTGTGTGTGTGTGTGCGGTTACCTGTGTCCATGTGAGGCGGCCAGACTGTAGGAGTTCATGTCCCCCTGGGGGGTTGAGGAAATGCCATTGCGAGACACGGTGCCGATCATGGGGTCTGCGCCTCGCTCTAGCAGTAAGCTCACCAGCTCAAAGTTCCCTGCAAGGACCCCCCATACCAGCAGTGTCAACTTCTGCTTTCCAAAACCTCACAAGTCCCCACATTCACCCTTTCCTATATGCACACTTCAGAGGTAAAACTGACTCAGGGTCAGAGTTAAAGGCTGTCGTTCTACATCATGCACCCAGACTTTGCATTGACTGCACGCTCTTCTTCATGAATACTATCAATCTTAAGCAGCTAAAGTCATATGAAATGGCTTTACTCTGACATCAATATCAACAATTAAAGTGGTATACATGCACTTGAGAGCAACAAACAGCCATTATGCTGAAAAAGAAACAGATAAAATTAGTTTACAACATATTAATACATAAAATATAGCATATTGCTCATGTGTCGATATCCATGCTCTGGTAATAATTAATTTAGGGTGGCAGCATGACTTATAGGGGGTGGTTAGCACTGTTGCCACCCCTTTGAGAATGCAGGTTTGGATCCCTCTGAGATTGGAGTTTGCATGTTCTTCTGTCACATGAGTTTCCTCCCACAGATAACGAGTCAGGTGCCCCCCCCCCACCATGATCCTCTGTTGACTAAACAGTAATAAAAGAAGGGAGGGTGTGGAGGTAGTCAGTCCCAGGCCATTCCTTGCCAAGCCCCACCCCTCAGTGCTGCCATACCTGCTGCAGAGGCCAGCTGCAGTGGGGTTTCAGTGTAGTTCTCTGCTCCATCTTGGACGGCGCCCTCTACGTTGGCTCGGGCATCCAACAGCAGCTATCAGGGCACAAGGGCATATCAGTCTCATTAGGGAATTTGGAGATGTGGGGGGGGGGGGGGTGAAGGGCGCAAGGCCCCACCCACCCCACAGACCTAGCTCTTAGCCATTACAACTATGACATTAATGCAGTGATGTCAGGAACATTAACCTCTACACAGCGAGTGAATGCTGAATTCATGAGGATGATTACTAAGGTCATATTGTGGCACCTGAAACCAACTTCCTGCCTCCATAGGTATCTCTGCCAGGAATGAATATGTGCTACTTTCCAAAGGTTGTTTTGACAGAGGGTGGGGCATGAATATATCTCGCGATTGCTTGGGGTTCTGGAGTTGATCCTGGGGCCCGATCCAGACCTGCACACTAAGCCAGATCTGGACAGAGATCCACCTTGGACCACTATGGATCTTCACAGATATGCCCAAGACCTCAGTTTTGAATTTTGTGTACCACCGAGGCAATGTCTATCTGGTTATGTGTCAAATGCCTTGTAAGCTTTGTAACAGGTGTAACTGAAATGGGATCACTATTGGGATTTTTGCAGCACACCCAATAGTGTGTGTGCCTTCCTGAACCTATGTATGTATATGAATCCTCATCATTTTGTTTGCTATGCTTTTTTGGCAAAAGCAATTCATTTTAGATATCCGTCACCAATCCACTGGGACTTCAGTAGAGTCCAGAGTCTATCGACATGAATAAATGAGATAAACTGTGTCGGGGGGCACCTCGGTGAGCACTGTGAATGCAGCCCTCTGCTCTTTCTACTCAAGCGTGCGTATCTGGTTCCAGACTTACAGTTCATGAGCTTACAATAGGGAAAGGATGCATATTATCAGGGGATATAGTGCTCCACACACTACCATGGAAAGCTGAAGAGGTCTAGTGCAGAACACCCCTCCGCAATCATCGATTGCATTCAGTTTCCACTGGCTTATACAGTGCGAGCCCATCTGGTTACTTATATATATATAAAACGTATATATATATTATTTATATACTAATATATATCCAACAAGAACAATCATATCTAAACAATACTGTTAAGGAGAAAATTGACATATAGTTACCATTATTATTATGATGTTACATAATAATAATAATCATTCAATGTACAGAAGTTAGTATAATTACAGGTCAAAACGTCACTACCTGAACGACAGGGACGTGTCCGTGTAACACAGCGAATGTGAGAGGAGTCCCCTGGCGCATTTCAGGATAAACTGAGGGGTACTTGTGTACTGTGTTTGGCACCTGGGAAGTCACAGGTAAGGTTCAGGAGAGAAATACAGCAATTAAAACCGCAGAATCACGTGGAGGGAGGTGCTGGATTAGCCAGCAGGACATTCGGATGTTGAGAAATTGGGCAATGAGCTTTTTTTTTTTTTTTTTCCTCCGGACACCCCCATCTCTCTTTCTCTCTCCATCTCCCTCGTTTTCCCTGACTGCCCACAGGCGTTCGCCATGGCTGCCCCGATCGCGACACATCCTGGCTAAAGTCTCGTCATGAGGTTCTCAGTGGTTGTCACAGATACAGAAGACAAACAGACGAGAGAGCTATGATTATTAGCCGGGGGGTGACAGATGCATGACTGTGTGCTGATTCATGAACATAGCACCCTAACCTGGGGTGGGAGTGGGGGGGGGCACACCATCTAGAGTCAGCATGGAGACTGATTCCTTAGAAACAGTCTGATTTCCTGAGCGTTCTGATTCTATGTAAAATGGTTCTGGTTATATGTAAAATGCACATAAAGTACGTGTAGCATTTGTGCAATGAGATGCCTCATTCCAAATGCGTTAAACGTGCAATTATGATTCATATTCACCAGGGTTATATAAGGGTTACTAATTATCTACTTGAGTGTTTGCCAAGTGTGCCAAGATTTTACTACTGACACAAGATGTAGTAGCGATGGGAGAAAGAGCCTCAAAACCCACGTGTGGGATTATCTTATGCTGCCAGACACTGGCCAGTATGATCCATCTTCCAGTGGTTAGTTAACTGGTGTTTGTTGAGCTACACCAGGCAGTAACTGATAGCTCAAGAAAGCCCCAAACGCCATAGCTTTTGCAGCTCTGTCCACCACCCCTCCCCACAAGCACAGCGACGCTGAAAGCCAGTAGGCCGAGGGCCAGACCCTTGAAGCATGACGTCACAGCTCAGGCATGCAAACCGTGGCCTGCCAGTGGGCCGGGATGGGCCACTGGCACGCCGTTCACGGAGCGTGTGGTGCTATGTTCAAGAATCACCCCTCAAAACTCAACACACATTATACTTCAACACTGATGAATGGGACAGTCACAGCCAATCAATACTGTGGTTATTATTTTGGACCCTATCTGTGAGGCATTATCCACCACAGTGACTCGGTAATCCCTTTGGTATCAAGGGGGCACTTTAATTAAATAAAGTTCAGTCTTTGCCTTGGAATTTATGTAAAACCAATTGTCAATGTTATTTAGTTGTATCTGTGCCAACTCCAAGTATAAACGGTTGTACATCCCATTTAAATGGTTGCCCAGAACTAATGAAATGCTGGGTACCTTGTTCAATGGCAATGTTTACATTTATCTAAGTTGGCAGTAATAGAATCTTAAACCCTGCTCTACAGAATAGGAACAGAACAAGAAGAAAACCTGAATATTGATCAGTGTTCTGATGATTCACAAGAACCCATCAGCTGGTTGACTCGCATGGACTGACAGCCAAAGCCAAACACTGAACTGCGTGCCTCAGACCGCACGTGGTGGCCAGTGCTTCACGTGGACAGCCTACACACAACATGCCAACGAGGAGTGAGATGGGAGAGATGAGGGACAGTACGGGGTCTCCTTCTGTCTTACAACACGACGAGCTCAGACAAACTAGTTCCACCATGACAACAAAGCCTCAAGGGCGCCCCCCCCCCCAATTTCCTGGCTCCCCTGCAACATATTACCCCAGGAGCAACTGACCTCACTGTTGATGTCGGCCCCTGCGTCCAACAGCATCTGCACCATGGCCTCATCCCCACGTACGCAGGCATACATGAGCGGGGTCATGCCCTGCATGTGGAAAAGGGGCAGTAAAAGTGACAGAGGAGTGACACCATAACATCAAAATAATACAATAAGGAAGTCTTCATTACCGCATTTCCAATCTATCTATCTATCTATCCATCCATCCATCCATCCATCCATCCATCCATCAAATCCATCCAGGTAAGTGAAGGTTGCCAGGCACTAGGGACCAGAAGTTGTGTGCTTTCGTTACACACCCACATATTAAAAAGCACCAGCTTCCTCCTATATGCAGTAAACACCAAAGCATGCTAGTCCAATGTGGCAGGGACCCATAGGATGCAGGCCTTGTCTTATCTGCCCGTTTCAAGTCTTAAGAACCCTTCAGGTTGTCATATGACCTGCATTCACATTCTAAAATCCGCCTCTCCATGTCATACAGGCAAAAGTTGCAGAAGGTCAAACAGTAATCCCTTTATGTCTTATCTATTATGAAATGGATCTAGAAAATAAGAAGCCTTGAAAAGGAGAAGCATGAAATGAAGGAACAGCATCAGAGTGGGTCAGAGCAGAATAATCCTGATGTGCTTGGATGGAGATCATTTCCTTCCTGTCTCATGTCTGAATCCGAAAACCTTGGGTGGTCATAACAACAAATATGACACATGAAACAAGGAAAAAAAATACCACGTCCTTCTGGGAAAACAAAACTTAACAAAACAAAGCCAAGCAGAGATTACAGCCAACGCTCTCACTATATTGCTTCCATATTTCCTGATTAATGTTCAAAGTATTTTAATCTTTCTAAAACTGAAACGTGTTTCGATTAGTGTTGCCAGTGGCACTATCTAAAAGTCTTGATTTGTTTACAGTCAAATCTGTGTTTAATTAAGGCAGAACTTTAGACGAAATATTTTTTAACACCATAGTGGATGGCACATTGCCTAAACTGCCAAACATCTCTGCCAACTGTGAAAAGTGGGTTTAAAAGAAAAAAAAATCAGTAAACTAACCTGCTGACAAAGACGCTTGACTACAAAGCTAGAAAGACAAAAAGACAATTGTCCGACCATAGCTGCTGGGAGCCAGTGATCTGATTAATCCAGTAAAGGATGTACAGCTGAATTGAAAACATGTGTAAATATGGGCAGTGAGAAGGACATTTTCAATCCCTGGAAGTCCCAATAAACTTCAAGTGGTGTGTGGAACCGGTTGCTGGTCCAAATCACCTGGCTGCCAGAGTGGTTTCACCACTGAGTCTGTGATCAAGGCACTTGACCCCCAATTGCTCTGGGGATTGGCTGGTCTTGCTTTCTCAAGTGCACATTACGTTGGATAAAATCATACTGTATGATAAATAAATGCGCATGAAGCTGGCCTCAGTTTTGGGCCACTTTTCAGGTCAGGTTGTACCATAGATCCGCAAGCTTTTGGGTTAACATGGCCTGTAAATTCAGCATTGACAGCAATGATCTAGAATGTGCACAAGCGCTAATGGCGCTAATGGTGAATGGATGCCCCGCCCCCTTCCGACCTGCTCGCTCATGCTGTTGATTCCGTCTGGGCCCAGCAGATTCACTGCCTGCTTGACCAGGTCTGTCCGGCCGCAGTTGAGCATACGAAAGCCCAAGTCCTGCAGGAATTTCGCCTCAGTGGAGGCGGCATCCAGCTTCCTTGAGGCACAGAAACAGTCGTCCGTCCTGCATGGAAATAAGGCCAGTTAAAATTCCAGACTTGTTCTCCTAAAATGGGTCCAGTTTCTACCTTAAAACTGCACAACCGTATAACACATTCTGGGAAACAGCATGACAACGAACAGAACCTATTACCTGGAGGTGTCTCTGATCTGCCCTAATTGGGTCATTAATTCAGGACAGTGGATACTGTTGTTTTATCTAAACTGACTAGCGGGACTGGGAACAGCAGAAAGCCACATTTAAAAATTATTTAAACTAACATGATTTAATATGTAGACCCGTTTTTCCTGTTTACAAAGATAACACAAATATAATACATTATATTGCTATGTACGCTACAAATTAACCTAGAAATGACATGGGAAAGAAACAGTCAGCTGATGTGGGCCTTTGTTAATATAAGTTGGGATCACTACATCGTAAGCCTATTGATGTCCTAAAATTTTCACACACTACACATACTGGTTTAAACAGGGATCGAAGGAATCTATTCTACTTGCTGCATGTGTTTTTCTAAACAGAGCCGATCATGTGACTGATCAAGTGACTGAGCACAATCAAGTTGGATGGTCATACTTCAGCTGCCGTGGCTCACAGTCGACCCCGGGGAGAAGCAGCCGTGCTGCCTGCCGTACATCGTCACTGTCCACTGAGAAGGAGCGCCTGTGCTCTGCATGCGCCACCGCCACCCGGATCCACTCCATCAGTGGAGGCAGTACCAAGAACGGCCTGTAGGGGGAGACAGCACAACTCATCAGCCCACTGTTACTGAACTCCAGCTGCAAAGGTGGTCTCAATCCGTTTTTCTCTCATTGGATTTGTCTGTCTATTTCTTTATCTGCCTGGGAGTGAATATTTCATTTGAAAACTCAATAGTATTTTTTTTTTAATTTTTGAGAATGAAGTTAAAAGGCATCAGTATAGAAACAGCAAACCAGTAAACGCAACCCTGTAATCAGTGAGTTAACGGAAGGAGATTTATGCACCACCTATTGACACAGAACTAGGAAAACTTTTAATTACTACTACCTGAACTGTTTTTAGGTTAATCTCTAACCTGTATTATTAATACTCAACAGACAGCTATAACTGTCTGTCGATCAGCCAACTGTCAAAGTCAAAGGTGCCTAAAGCCAGTCTCAGGCAAGACAGGGTTACACTCTGGACAGAATATCAGTCCAGCACAGCACACACATATAATCAAATAAGCAATTTGGAGACACTGATTAGGAAACTGCAAGAAAAAAAACATGCAGAACATACAAGCTCCCCATACAGAGAGAGGTGGCAGGTTTCGAACCCCCAACCCAAGAGGCAGGAGGCAACAGTGCTACTCACTGAGCCATAGTGCCATAAGCAGCTATATCGAGCTTATGTTATATTTACTTGTTTCTGATATGCTTTGTTTCACTACCATTTGCAAAGCCAGGAGTGACTCATCTCCACGCCTACGTACTCATCCTCACCATTGACAGCGACTCCATCTGCTGTTTTCAAGGTATGTTCGCTATGTGGAACCACTTTCCTTGATGTACCGATCTACCAGCTACAGGATACCATAGTCAGCTTATATTAGATCTATATTTTTTTTTACGGAGAGATGACAGTCCCTCATCTGTTAGTGAAGGATCCAGTTAAGAGTTGGATGCCATGTCATCCACAGCCACAAGGAGACGCTGAGATGCAACTGGTACAGAAGTGTTTGTCCGGGGCCTCTCCTGTGACCTTGCAGCTGGCCGCCAAGTGATAATGTGTGCCACAAGCCATTTCTGTTTTCCAAGCAAACACTCAGCGCACCACAGCCAAGATATAGATTATAACGTAACTTTAGTTTCACCTGACTCTTGGTTTGGTCTCCATCCAATGAAACACCATAGACAAAATAATTTATTATCCTGGCATCTCCAAATTAATAGCATTTTAAAATGCAAATATTTCCCACAGACCCGAAATTGGGTTGCTGGACTAAACGCAATTTATTGCCAGAGGAAACAAGTATTTGTAAAATAATGGTGTGGCTTTGATACTTTGTCCAGCATCCAAACATCACCAGAAGAGGCTATGTTTCACTAGCCATTTTATATGGGTACTCTACTCCACATTTATCAACCATACATTATCAGTGGCCACATTCAGCTTTTCATTCCATTAAACAAGATTTCATGTCAACTTTTTACTTATTAAAATCATCTTAGAATTCTTAGAACTGATAGACATCCAAATATCAGAAACATTTTCACATATAATTTTACATGCTGTATATATAACTCATTTGGTTTATGGTACAAGGTGAAAACAATAGGAAATAAATGCTTATTTTCAGAAGCTCGTAGCTAGCAGTTAAAGAGTAACAACTTAGTGTGTCATCAGCTAATCTGATTTTCTCATTCACTGCTCTACAGAAGGCAGCTGTGCCAGTATGGCGTAATGATGGAGATACCTCTTTACCCAGTGCATATAATAAGCATTAGCACCCTAGTGACTATTAGCACCTTGATAACTGAACTGAAATATCAATGTAGACCATAACTGGATAATTATCAATGCTAAATGTCTTATAAGGAGCATATATGAAGGCTACCACTGTGGATGCTTAATGAATTGCACCCACGAGTTACACTTCGCCACTCCTAAGTTCAACAGGGAGTCTGTACTCAATAGTTCAAACCCCCATTCCAGATCCAATGGAAACACTGCCAGAGTAACCCAACACAAAAACTGAACAAACTGCAGGGCTTTCACAGCTCCGCCTCCACTTTTAATCATCAGCCTTGGGGGTGAATGGGATACACCAGAAATTTCCAGTTCCTTTGGCGTTAAGGGTCTGTCTGAAAAGGAAAATAGGTCTGCTGAGTGTCACTTCTCAACATCCTCTGCGATATGCCGCAGAATCACAGTGCTGGAGCTCCTTTCACGTGTGGACGTGTTGTTCCAGAATAAAACTGTGAAAAAAATGACCAGTCTTATGTCAGTTAGAGTTTAAAACTGAGCCTTGTTAGGTAGTGCTTCTAAAAACCAGATCATTGTAGGTCAGGAAATTATATTTTGCAAATCCGACTGACTAATTTATTTCTGAGTGATTCACTGCATATGACAAAGTGGGTGTATTACTGTGTACTACAAAGATGACAATAATGCTAATGTATGAAATAAACGCAGCTGTCGACAAATTTCAGATATCACATAAATGACCTGTATTATGATAAACTTATTTTTACAGTTGTATTACTCATATTTAAAAGAAAAGTACTCATATATATTCCAGGAAAACATTTCCTGTCTTTACAGAACTTTCAGTATATTTGCCTATAACATAATGGTTAGCTCGGTTATGGTAAATAAGCTTTATTTGATTACTTAATCTTAATGGCTAATAATGAACTGAATGACCTTGTTTGCACTGAACAGCAGTGAAGAACTCAATGTTAGACGTGAGACCAGCTTGTCACGGGACACTTGTAACCATACAATGTCACCTCCATCCCAAAAGCGCCATGCCGTCATGCACACAACATCACACGGTCATATGGGCCCCTGTGTTGACACAGGTACCAGGAGAAAGACAGTGAGACATCACTGAACACAAAGTGCTGACTGTGGAGACGGGGGAATAGAGGAGGTCTGTTTGACTTCCAAGAAAGGATTGGCCTTCCATTCCATCCGCGACAGATCAGCAGAAAAGAGCATTCAACACTTCCTGGATCACAGCTGGAAGTGTACATGGCATCAACCATGCAACAGGAGCCATTCAAGCATGCCTTTAAAGAGCCAGCGGTCATTCTGCACTTAACGAGACTCCCTACTTGCCAGTCAACATCTTATTGTCTTTCTTGCTTTAGTCCAGTGTTTCTGAAAAACAGCAGAGCCGGTCTTCAAAGAGAAGCCCCACCTTACTGCTTCAGGATGGCGTAAAAACTGTAGGGTCCCTTTTCATGGTCGAATAATAATCTCAAATAACAGCATCTTTATGGTTATATTCTTTCTACCTGAGCTCTCATCACCATGACTCCTGTCATCCTAACAGCGCATATTGTGATCTCTCCTTTGAATACATGAGACACTCTCTGTAGATGAATCTCAAAAAAAAAATCTCTGAAATTGACTGACTATTTGCTTATGGCTTTGGATTAAAATACCTGCATAACATTTCACAGACTTGGCAGCTTCTGGGCATGGATGTTAAACTTTCATTGCTAATCAGGCCCTGGCTCTGAGGCCATCTGCCCGTATCTGAGCAAAGATATTTGCAGTGATTCATTAATACTGGCCAAACTGAGTCACCCCTCTGATTTATGTTTTTGCATCTGGCATGATGTCCTACAGCATGAGAGACTGGGAGCTGTTCTTCTTGACAGTTTACAGGAATGCAACAAGAAAAAATCTTAGGAATGACGTTCCTAGCAACTACAAAATAGGCCTTGTAGGGATTTTTTTTAAAGAACACACGTGCCCCCATTAGGGGTGGTTATTATGTCATGCAATACTCTTGTTTTAATGTTGCATACAGTACATACACATAGACAGACACACATAAACAACAAACATAAAATGTACTCTATTCAAAATTACTTTCAACCTGAGAGCAGCTACCTTTTTTGACAAAATACCTATTTATGTGGAAGTTAAGGGAATTATAACCCCCCCCCCAGCAAATCACTCACTTCAAGAAATTACAGTATTTGTTAATTACCTCCTTCCATATATCGGTGTATGAGAACTCAATTTAAAACAACACGAAGGACAATAACTAGAGTGGCAACAGCCATGGCTTATGATTAAGACAATACATATTTTTAATTAATTAATTACTACTGATCCATATACACTCACCTAAAGGATTATTAGGAACACCTGTTCAATTTCTCATTAATGCAATTATCTAATCAACCAATCACATGGCAGTTGCTTCAATGCATTTAGGGGTGTGGTCCTGGTCAAGACAATCTCCTGAACTCCAAACAGAATGTCAGAATGGTAAAGAAAGGTGATTTAAGCAATTTTGAGCGTGGCATGGTTGTTGGTGCCAGACGGGCCGGTCTGAGTATTTCACAATCTGCTCAGTTACTGGGATTTTCACGCACAACCATTTCTAGTGTTTACAAAGAAATGCATTGAAGCAACTGCCATGTGATTGGTTGATTAGATAATTGCATTAATGAGAAATTGAACAGGTGTTCCTAATAATCCTTTAGGTGAGTGTATATGCTATATGTGTAGCATTCAAATGTCCCAGATGTCCTCTGTGTGCATATATCTATAGACTGATTAGTTTTCAATCTATTATTTTTATAAATATCGATAAATATTGAAAGCGCCACCGGTAACTGAAGCTGCACATGAATACTGCTAACCACGAGCCTAAACCTTAGCTTGGCAGAGACTGGATGGACATGAGGCCGGATAACCATTACGATGATTGGTTGACAGATGAGAAATTTCTTGCCCGCTCGACATTGATGAAAAGGCTATTTCAGGTCAAGGCAATGAAACGTTTTCCTGTACTGTAAGTCATACTGCATGAGAGGATGTGAGGGTAGTGCCGTTGGTAACTGGGGGAGGCGTTCCCACCTCTCCGTTTGCAGGGTGACCTTGGAGGGCTCCACGTTGGGGTTCTCCCACTCCATCTGCGGACAGTGCATGAAGTAGCATAGAGAGTAGAGGGCTTCAGGCTCCCAGTGTACGCAGGTGGCCTTCTGGTGCAAGGGCGTCCCGTTGTTGTTGGTCCGGACATGCAGGGGCTGGAGGTAGTGCATGGCCCGGGACACCAGGTCACCTGCGGGTTCGGGACAAAAGTGGATGAGGCTGTTAGGCGTCACTCAGTTGTTAGCACATTAGCAGGCTTAGCAGCGAGACATGCTTGATTAGCTCTATACTTTAGCGGTGACTCAGTAATATTATACCACAATCGTTTAGTCACCTGTCATGTCAATCAATAAAACCCACAGTTGGTTTGCGAATCAGTCAGCTCTGAGAGCTCTCAGCCATTAGGGTAAAACACACAATCATGTGTCACTCAGCCAGATGAGGCTAAATGCTGCAGCTGTATTCAAACTCTGTCCTATTATTAAGGGCCTGACTAGTGAACAGTGAATCACGCTGTTGAACTTCTGAACCTTTATAGGCAATGTCTACCTCTTTAGTGAGACCTACACAAACAATAAACAGGACAAAAACTGAGCAATTATCATCTTCCAACATGTAGCTTGCATGAACATGGTTGGACAGTCACCACAAAGACACCCTTTGACCCAGAAGAACAAGATTTCATTTTAATACCAATTTTAAAATAACACTGCATCTAAAAGAAAAGAATGACATCACTTAGACCTGCATAATTTGCATAATTTTAATTTATATACCTTATAATTCACCTATATTTTAAAAAATATATTTTACCAAAGTTACTGCTGATATTAAAATTATTGCCAATAGTTTTAAAATGTCTTCAAGCTGTCTAAGCTGGGGAAGGTACAACACCATAATTAATCTTCAGTCGTCATACATATACTTTGCCATGACACAGAAGATTTTTAGATGTGATACTCCATCTCTGACTATGACTTATGATTAAAATTCCTAGGAAAGTCACTATACTCATATATACTCATTTTAATCCACCCTGAAAAGTTTCATTGTCATTTGCATTTAAATTACAGTTGAGTAGCACTGAATGGTATGCAGGTTACACAGCAGGAGTAAAAATTACTGATAAAGGAAGCCAACTGTTTTTTGACAGAGCTGTTTAGGTACACATAATGGATTTATAAATGTTTGTGTTTTGTATATGTGTAATGAGTATGTAATTATTCTTTAAGGTTATTTAAGGCATAGGCTCCAGACTCCCCACAACCATGAATAGGACAAATGGTTTCAGAAAATGATGGATGGAGGTTTATCTAAGGCAGAGGGTAAAGCCTGCAAGTAGAGCTGGTGCATGTTGTTTGATAGCTACTAGAGCAGCAGAGATAGTAAATATTGCTTTTGTTTATAAGAAAAAAAGATTGCTCATCATCACAGAGTCAAAATTATATATTTTTATATAAATTATTATAATTAGATATTTCTTGACCAAAAATATGGATGGCACTGATTCACACCTACAAGGTTGGGGACCTCCACTTTGTCTCTGGAGTTCCTCCAGTGCCGTGTGGGTGTCCTCCTGCTTCTCTGATTTGCTCCCACAATCCAAAGACCAACAGGTAGGCTTACTGGCATCTGTACCTTGCCTGTAGATTATGACTAGGGAGAGCGAGTTCATGTATGTGTCCTGCGATAGACTGGCATCCAAAGGCACATTAGCATGGTCAGAGGACCCTAGGCTATTTGAGTTGTCCGTTCCGTGGGTGGCACCACGGTAACAAATAAACAAAGGAAGTTGTCCATCCGGGAGCCCTTTTTAGTGGAGGCCACTGGACTTCATCTTAGGTACGTCCGGGTATTACAGTGCCCCCGCTGGCCTCCCATCCAAGGTGTAACCCAGCCTTGTTGCCCCTCTTAAGCTGACCAGGAAAGGTAATTGACAGATGAATGAAAAAAAATCAGCACCAAGTTATGGCTTTGTGCTCAGGAGGATGAGGTTCATTTCTTGTTATTTGTTTTTTTTTTGCTTTAGATGGCTCTCTGGGTAATAATATGCTGCCATGAGTTTCACTCTTGAAAACACTTATTCCTTTAGAGTTATTAATAATCAAACACAGATGCACCCCTTAAAGAGTAGAAACACATAAAGGTAAAACCCAACAGTGAAGCAAAACTTCCTGTTTTTCATGAAACTCAACTCTTGTCAGGAAGTGAAAGTCTGTCTGACCCGAGCAAGTATTCACTGTCATGGAGACAAGAGATTCTGCGTTATGTAAAAGGAGCAGTCCATTTACTATGCTGCCCCCTCAGGCCACTCCATGAAATGTTCGGTTTAGAGTGCCATTCTGTGTACTTGTACCTTTGGCATAACACGCTGTTATAGCCTGTGCTACCCAGAATGAGCCTTGAGGATGGGCTTATTACTTGCATGTACTTCTATGATAGTCTGAAATGTGTGTGTGTGTATATATTATAAGGAGGCCCCAGAGTGACAAATTACAACAACTCAGGAATGTATTTTTGCTCATTGAGACCATTATTCAAATTTTATTCTGCTAATCGAGTTTTATAAAATTTCAAATCAACATTAAGAGGAGCTGCATTCTGGAGTTAATTACCAATTTTATCCAGCAAAATATTGCTAATATTTCAGTGCATAATGAGTTTTTTAAGCAATGATAATGAAGTTAATGAAAATCGTCTCTTTAAGCTCTTGAAGTGGTGTTTTCCCATCAAGGCAGATTCTTCTGAACCCTGGAGATAAATCAACAGACTAAAAATACATTTGTATGTGAGAGTATGTGGGAAACAATGATCCTTTGGAAGAAACCACAGATGAACAGAATTGGGGAGGCCTTCCCAAATCTAAGGCCCCACCGTGTAAACAGCACCACTTCACGTCCTGAATTTTTTAAACAGCAACACCTGCACTCACATTAATGGATCTGAAATGCTTGCATGAAAAAGAAACAGTCATTCAATTTAATTTTACATACCATATGTATACACAACATTTGTTTATGTTGGCGGTAGAATTGGGAAAGCCAATGGACAGTTTCACGCAACACCCCTCAACACACAAGCTCCACAGCCTAACAACATCTTGTTGAAATGGAGACTAAACACTAATCACAGTTACCCCCAAATTAAGATATACCCATTTGTTGTTATCCAGGCTAGCACCAATTAGTAACATTCCACCATAATTAACACAAATACTGTGTCACAGATGGTGATGCAAAAAATATATAACATTTTTTAATATTAAAAAAAAATACCATGTAGAGGTTTGGAGCATCTGCTTTGCGGATAAAATACAATATAATAAGCAGTGATACTCCTGACCTATTCCTGTGAATATCGGCATCGTGTGTCATGCAGGAAAGGGGTATTAAAAGCTACTTAAGGTGAGTTCACTCAAATTGTTCCCTAAGAGCTATCTCTAGGTCCCACTGGGACAAAGCAATTTAATAATCATTCCACATATGGACGCTTTGGGAGGGAGTCATTTTAGGGGAGAAATCGATGCCAGAGTTCCTTTAATTCCTTTCATTATGTTGGATATCTCAAAAGATCCTCATGAAAAATGGAAAATATGGGCCTTCGTCCCAGGATATGGACGTGAAACTAAACTGATAAAAACATCCCCCTTGTTGGCAAGCTGAGACGTTTTTTTAAGCAAACATGGCTGCCTTGTTTAGACAGCTACTCACGGCCCTTGATGTAACACCTAATGGCTAATTTCTGATTTAAAATGACTACTGAAGACTAGATTCTGGGTGAATGAACAAACGAATCCAGTAGGCAGGCTGGCTTCTTATTTCACTACAGATATATCAAAGGGCATGTTGAATTTGGGCCCTGGGTACTTTTCTGTTTTCGCATATCATGGCTGGCCCAACAAGGAAAAAGGTGCCTCATTCAACCTGAAATCACTGCACTGCAAAAAACAAAAGACCTGAACTCATTTCTTATTTTAAACAAAAAAATAAACAGGTTAATTAGAGAATAAATAATACAAATTCCAAAAAAGCTTTGAAAATTTCTGGAAAACATATAATATTAGAAATGACACTTGTAAAGTAGTATTTGGCATTCAGTAAGAGCAGGCTATGCAACTTTCGCATTTCAGGAAACAGGATCGGCTCCATGTCTGCAAGTTTCAGCTGTAACTACATCTTAAAAGCATTTTTAAAGTTTTGGTTTTCAGATGTACTGCAAAAAACATGCCCCTCCCCCTCAAAAAAGAACTTCTGTTCAAGTCATAAGTTTTTAATTTGTTGACAGCGCTCAGTAAAACAAATCAAAGCAGTAAGGTTCATTGCACAACATCATGATGAAACTGAAAATGGTTCCTTTCAGACACACATCAAGGCATCCAGGGAAAGAATAATAATAGCTATAAAAATAACATCCATTTCACGACCCCAGAGGTCAGTTTGTTAGACATTTATTAAGCTGTCACATTCCTTGACAAGCATATGGTAATACACAAATGTTAGATTTACAATACTGGAATGGCTCTTCTCTCATGAAGGATCTGCTTAGTGTACATAATTTTCTTGATCTACAGAACTGAAGGTAGACATACATCCAGTTCCATCTCAAAAGAAAGAAAACACTATTATGACATCTCTTTTTTCTGTTCTGATTCTTCAAGATAAAACTCATAACACTAGATCACGACCACCCCAGGATGAGACTTCCTAAATGTCTTGAAACTTTCATTGGAGTCAGACTTAGACAACAAAACTCTGCGGTATCGATTATCTGATTTTACTCCTAGTAAATAAACTTCAATGCAGTTTCCTGCAAGACGTTTGTTAAGACACAGATTCTTATTATTCAATGCACATTCTGAGTAGTGTACTTCCACAGAATCTGCATTTTCCCCTTCGCTGTTATTACTATGTTAAATCATACCCAACTCTTAAAATGTACATTTTATATTTCTTTCATTGGTAGAGAAAAACACTAATGTTCTGTATAGTCAACCTTTGGAAACATCCATCCATTTGCTGTAACCTATTCAGGGTCGTGGGGGGCCAAACCCGGAGGCTACGGGCACAAAGCAAGGACCATCCCGGGATGGGGGTGCAATCCCATCACAGGGAAAACTCAGACATCATGTACTCTTAGTGGCAACTAGGTAACTCCACTTAACCTCAGCATGTTAGTATGTTGTTGGGCTTA